GGGGGTCTGTGCAGTGCCTGGCACAATGGGGTGCCCCCAATCTCAGTCAGGGGGGTCTGTGCAGTACCTGGCACCATGGGGGGGGCCTGATCTCCATCAGGGAGCTCTGCGCATCGCCCGGCACAATGGGGGGGACCCCAATCTCAATCAGGGAGCTCTGCGTATCGCCCGGCACAATGGGGGAACCCCAATCTCAGTCAGGGGGGTCTGTACAGTACCTGGCACAATGGGGGGGACCCCAATCTCAGTCAGGGGGGTCCGTACAGTGCCTGGCACAATAGGGGTCCTGATCCCAGCAGGGCTCCTGGGCTCTCCCCTAACCCCAGGACGGAGGAGGACGAGCAGCAACTCCAGCACTGTCCCCGCGGCGCGCCGGGCCCTGAACGAGGCCCGGCTGTTTCCAAGTGGCCGGGGCTGCGAGCGGCTGGCGGGAGGCCAGCCCAGTGCTCACCACTGAGAGAAGGGCTGACTCAGGAGCCGTTTCCCTGCACACACGCGCAGGCCTTGGGCTGCAGGGTAAATGTTTTGTCGACCGCGCGACCCAGAGGGGCCCAGCCAAGCTGCCGAGAGGGTATTGAACTTGGCACAGAGCGCGCAAGCCTCTGGCAGGAGAAGAGCCGTTCCAGCAAGACACTGACAAGGATCAGTGCTGGGCACTGGCTCTCTCGGGGCTGAAATGAACAAAGCTCTAAAAGGAGACGCTGGAAAAATCCGAGAGGGGCAGAGAAGAGCCACAAACTGCAGAGGAAAAGCAGGACAAGGCGGGAAGGATGAAGCCAGCCGCTTTCCCGTGGGAAACAGGGCACCGCTGCCAGTAACCTGGGCCCAAACGCCCCGGGGCAGAGGTGGATTGGTCGTCTCTCGACGCTGTCCCACCCAGCCTTTCGGGGAGAAATGCCTTCGCCCCGCCCAAGGGACCGGGCGCCATCCAGAGACGAGGGTGAAAGGTCACAGGACATGGGACCAGCTGATTAAAGTCCGCGAGGAAGAGGGAAATGGGGCCATGTGACAGCCCACACCAACACCGCACCATTTCCCCACAGTTCAGTGCAACCCGGAGACTGGGGGCATTGCACACCGCGGACTGCCGTGACATGCGAGTCTCCTCACAAACTGCGAGGGGATCTGTTCCCAGCAGATCAGAGCCTGCCCACTCACCACCCCTCCAGCGCTGGGGCCGTGTGTTTACACATTAACTGGGACCAGGGCCCTGTCGTGCCAGGCGCTGCCCAGACACATGGCGAGAGACAGACCCTGCCCCAGCTCAGGGGCCCGTTGTGCCGGGCGCTGCCCAGACACAGCAAGAGACAGACCCTGCCCCAGCTCAGGGGCCCGTTGCGCCGGGCGCTGCCCAGACACAACAAGAGACAGACCCTGCCCCAGCTGAGATCAGGGCCCGTCGTGCCAGGC